CTCTTTACATCCCCTTTCACTCTTCTCTTCCTCTTTTCCTTACGCTCTTTTCCTCATTTTCTTTTTTTTCTTGATTTTCTCTCTTTGTCCTCTTCTTCCTCTCCTTTCTGGTTTTGATTCCTCTTCTTCCCTTTATTTCTTCTCTTCTCCTTCTCTCCTGTCTCTCTTCTTCCTTCCCTCTCTGGTTCTCTTTCCTCTCTTCCCTATTCCTCTTTTCACTTCTTATCCTATCACTTCCCCTCTCCTATGCCTATTCTTCCATCCATCTCTCCCTCTTTTTTCTCTCCCTTTCCTTCTTTTTCTCTAAACCTCACTACCTTTCCTCCTCTCTCGCTCTCACTTTCTCTTTCTCACCTCTTCCATTTTCTCTCTTGTCTTCGCTTATTCTTTTTCTCCCTTTCAACACATACTTTCTCCCTCCTTTTCCCCTCTTTCAGTTCATTTCATCTTTTTCTCCTTCTCTCTCTCCTTTTCCTTTTCCACTTTTACCTCCATCATCCTTTCCTATTCACCCATTTGTAACTCCTCCCCCTCCATCATTCTTTCCTATTCACCCATTTGTAACTCCTCCCCCTCCATCATCCTTTCCTATTCACCCATTTGTAACTCCTCCCCCTCCATCATCCTTTCCTATTCACCCATTTGTAACTCCTCCCCCTCCATCATCCTTTCCTATTCACCCATTTGTAACTCCTCCCCCTCCATCATTCTTTCCTCTTCCTTTTCCTGTTTCCTTCTCTCCCTCCTCTGCTCTTCCTCTTCCGAGGACACGCGTGCGAGGCAACAGCAGCGCTACGGAAGGCGTCGAGGCTCTACGTGGCTCTTGTGGCTTCTGCTGCTGCGTCGTCAGACGCTCGGTTCTGACGTCATTCGTGCTCTGGCTGTTGTCATTATCATTCTCGTCTTTATCGTCATTATTATCATTATTGCAATCGTATCATTATCATTGTTTATATAATTAGTCATGGCAATGATGATTATTATTACTTTTATCAGCATAATTGATATTATTACTTTTTATATTATTGTTATTATTACTATTACCATCCTTATTATTATCATCGTTATTATTATCATTATCATCATCATCATCATCATCATCATTACTGTTATTGCCTTTGATATTACTTATGTCATCATTACCATTATTCATCATCATCATTATGGTGTTGATTATTATGATGATGATGAGGAATTGGTGTTACTATAGGTTCTATTTATAGTTTTATAGATCTTGGTTTGGGAACCTCTTCCTAATTTCATTTTCCTTACTCTCTCTCCTCATTTGTTCCTCCTCTTCCTTCTTTATCTCTTCTCTCTCTTTCTTCCTCTGTTTCTCCTGTTCCTCCTCTTCTCATTCTTTCTCTCTCTTCTCTCTTTTCCTCTTTCTCATCTCAGTCTCTCACTTCTTCCTCTCTCTGCCCTCCTTGTACTACCTCCCCTTCCTCCTTTCTTCTCTCTACTACAACTCCTCTTTCTCTCTCTCTTCTATTCCTTTCACTTTCTTTCCTTTCCTCATTTCCTCTTCCTCTCATCTTCCATTCTTCATGTTTATTCTCTTCCCTTTTCATACATTTTCCTTCACCTCTTCTCTCTTCTTTATCTCTCTCCCTATTCTTTATTTCTTTTACTCTCTGCCCTCCTTTCTTCTTGTCCACGTTCTCTCCTTTCCACCTTTCTTTCTCTCATTTTCTTGCTTCCTTTCTCTCTCCTCCTCTTCCTTCGTTCCCTCTATTTCTTGCATACTCTTCCGCTCTTATTATTTCTCTCTTCCCCTCTCTCTATTCCTTCTCTTTATCTCCAATTTTTTATCTTCTCTCCTTGCCTTACACCCCCCTTCTCTCCCTCTTCGTCTCTCCTCCCTCTTCCTCACTTACCTTACTCCGTGTCTATTCATTCTCCTTTCACTCTCCTCTTCCATTCTCTTTCTTTTCCCTTTCTTTTTCATTCCTCTTATACCTTCCTTTATCTCGTTTATCTCTCACCTTTTTCTTTATTTATCCTTTTCCTTTTGACCTGTCTTTATCTTTTTCCACTTTTTCCTCACCCATTCTCCTGTTCCTCATATCCTCTATGTCTCATTTTCCCCCCTTTCTCTACCTCATTTTTTTCTCTCATTCTACTCTACATTCCTTTCTTTTGCTATCCTCCTCCATTTCTTTCTCTCACTTTCCTTCCTTATATCTTCTCTCACTCTCTCTTCCCCCCTTTTTCCTCGCTCTCTTTCTTTCGATCCTGTCATCAATGAAATTGATTAAGTACATTATATGTGATTTCGAATTATGTTTAGACACGCGCACACACACACACACACACACACACACACACACACACACACACACACACACACACACACACACACACACACACACACACACACACACACACACACATACACACATACACATACACACATACACATACACATACACTCACACATACACACACACACATACACGCACACACACGCACACACTTGCACACACACGCACACACTCACACACACAAACACACCACTCACACACATACACGTGTGTTCACACACATGCACACACTCAAACACACAAACACTCACACATACATGTGCGTGCACACACACACACACACACACACACACACACACACACACACACACACACACACACACACACACACACACACACACACACACACACACACACACACACACACACACACACACACACACACACACACACACACACACACACCGTTATTTGAAAAGAATAGGAGGAAAACAGAAAGTATTTCCTCCTCTCAATCTGGTTGCTGACACAAGTGCTGTGTAACCGAGGAATCAACCCAAGTGTCTCTGCCCTCACAGATTCCCGGGCCCTGCACGTGGCTGCCAAGAAAGGCCATAAAGAGGTGGTGGAGGCGCTCCTCGCAGGGGACGCTGACCCCAACGCCCAGGATGAGGAAGGTAAGGTGGAGGATGGGAATGGGAACTACTCGTCCGGCCTGCATTCTGGTAGCTGCCAGCATGGAATGAAGCTTGTGGGGCAAAGCCCTAGGGAACACTACAGGTCGACGTTGGGTCACGTAGCTTGTGGGGCAGTGTCGGCGGGGGTGGCAGTGGTGGCGTCCACTGGGAGTGACTGCCCGAGGGTTAACCTCAGGCGGGAAGTCAGGGTGGGGGCTTGGAACATCCGCTCTTTGTGTCAGGATGATCGGTTGCCTCTACTGTCGAGGGACCTGGGGAGGCTGAGAGTTGGGGTGACTGCTCTCTCGGAGGTGAGAAGACCTGGTAGCGACACAGTGTAGGTAGCTACACCTACTACTGTTCGAGCTGCAGCAATGGTCACTATCTTCAAGGAGTAGCCATAGCTATCTCCAGTAGGCTCTAGCCCTTGCTGGTAGAGGTTACTCTGGTCAATGAGTGAATAAAAGTATTAAGACTGTAGCTAGCACTTGGCTTCATGTCTCTTATTACTTAGATGTGAAAGAGATGTTCTACGCCAAACTTGCATCAGTGGCAGACAGTTCTCCCCAGTGAGATATTCGTATTGTTCTGGGTGACTTCAATGCGGTATCTGGCTATGATCAAGCTGGCTATGAGATGTCTGTCGGTCCTTATGGTTCAGGAGCTGAGACCGGCAGCAAGAATACCCTTCATTTCTGGGACTTTGTAAGGTCCCAGAAATTGAGGATTTCTGGCTCCTGGTACTAGCACCCAGATCCACATCATTGGACATGGTACAGTAATGCGGGTAATGCACCGAAGGAGATCGACCACATATTAGCACTCGAGTGTATAGGAGTGCCGAGTTCTGTGGCACTGACCATAGGGTGGTTGCTACCCTCCGGGTCTACTTCAAAACTCCCTAGCTGGCCAGTGATCACCCTCGGATATTTCATTTGGACAGGCTAAAGGAGGGAGAGTGTGCTCGGGAGTTTGCTGAGGCAATCTATGGTTGTTTCACAGTGCTCGACTATCTGACAGACCCTGTACTTCTGTGGGACACCTTCAAGCGCAAAACGCTTGATGCAACTCAAGAATCAATAGATGAACGCCCGAGGACAAGACAGAATTTTATATCACAAGAGATACTGGAAGCCACAAATGTCTGCCGTGCAGCTCGTCCTAAAAGGGATTGGGATTTGCACAATTCAGGTGCGCAGAACTCGGTCTCTGTTAAGAAGGGACAAGGAACAGTTTATTAGGAGTCTTGTTGAGGAGGTCGAAGGCCATTTCTTAGTAAATGACCTTCGTCCTGCATACCAAGCCCTGAGAAAACTGAACTCCAAGCCCTCTTCACAGGTGACTGCAGTTCGCTTAGTGGGTGGCCAGATCGTCTCAGATCCTATTGCGGTGCGGGAGCGTTGATCTGAGCATTTTGAGCAGTTGTACCAGGTTAATCCACCAACAGTTAACCTGGGTGCAGGTAATGCTGTGATTTCGTTGCCGGACCCACCCATCAGTGAGGATCCACTCTTCCTAACTGAAGTTAGAGGGGTCAATCTCCAAGCTGTAGAGTGGCAAAGCAGCGGGTATTTGCGGCATCCCAGCTGAACTGTTAAAGGCTGGTGGTGAACCTATGGTGCAGGGTTTGCATGCTGACATGCTGCCATCTGGCTGTCTGGTACCGATTCCTCTGACCTGTTGAGACGTATCAGAGACCACCAACTGAGGCATCAGAGGCCGGGGCAATCTGGATTCACTGCTGGTAGATCCACCAACCTCAAGAAAGCATTCGATACAGTGCATTGGGTATCACTCTAGGAGATCTTGAGACTGAGAGGAATTCCAACAAGGATTATTGGACTAATAGCAAGTCTGTATACTGGTACTGAAAATGCTGTAAAGTATGGTGGGTGCCTGTCAAGCTTCTTTCCTGTTAGTAGAGGAGTGAGGCAAGGCTGTGTCCTTACACCAACGCTTTTCAACACTTGCATGGACTGGATACTGAGCAGAGCTGCTGTTCAAAGTTATTGTGGAGCAACTCTGGGCAATATCCAGGTTACAGACCTTGATTTTGCTGATGATGTTGCTATTCTATCTGAGTCTTTGGAAACCTTAGTGGTGGCTCTTGGGTTTAGAGGTCTCCTGGACCAAGACCAAGATGCAGGACTTTGGGGACTTGCTAGGGGAACCTGTTCAGTCAGTACATGCTTGTAGTGAGGACAGTGAAGTCACAGAGAGCTTTACATACCTTGGTAGTGTAGTTCATTACTCTGGGCTGTCAGACCAGCAATTCAGCAGATAGACTGGCCTAGCAGCAGGTGTCATGAACTCTCTCAAAAAGAGTATTTGGAGATGCCAGTACTTTTGCAGAAGGGCCAAGCTATGTGTCTTCACAGCCCTGATAATGCCAGTTTTGCTATGCGGTAGTGAAACCTGGACGTTATCTTGTGCCATGGAGACTCGTTTTGATGCCTTTTGTAATAGGTCCCTGCGGTGGATCATGGGGTACTGTTAGTGGGACATGTCCAACAATAGTTGCACTGTGAGACTGGCACAGGACCTGTTACCTGCACAATCCGGGATCGCCAACTCAGGCTGTACAGCCACCTGGCTCACTTCCCACAGGATGATCCTGCCCACCAGGTTATCTCTGCAAGAGACAACCCTGGGTGGAGGAGGCCTGTGGGACGACCCAGGATGTCGTGGCTTGACCACATTGATCAAACCTGTTGTGAGGAGCCTGAGATGGACCAAGTCCCTGCCTGGCGGCTTGCCATTAGGGACCCCAAAACGTGGAAACAAAGGGTGGACGCAGTTGTGCACGCCCGTTGGCGTTAGTCCCTGATGATGATGATGATGAATAATGATAAACATAATTAGAATTATTATTATTGTTGTTATGATTGTTTTCATTATTATTAATGTTATTTTCATTATCATAAACATTATCATCATGATAATAATTACCATTTATTTAAGTCTTGCTATCATTTTCTTTGATGTTGGCATATACCTGAATCTGCTTTTGCTATCTTTATTTTCATTACTGATATTAGAATTTTTTCTATTTCCATATTCTAAAATATTGTTAGTTCAACTTCATTGTTCTTAGAGTTTTCATGATTCTTATTTATTTCAGTTTACCATTATCATTGTTTTGTTATCATTGCTAATTTTATCATCCTCCTTCATAATAATTTTTATTGTTTTTATTATTACTTTTGTTCTGTTGTTAGTTTTTACTCCTTTTCTACTTATTTTCTTCTTTTTTTCTCTTCTATTCCACTCTCCCTTCCTTATTTCCTTTCTCTTTCTCTCATGTATTCCCTCCCCTCTTCTCTCTCCATCCCCTTCTTCTTTTTCTCTCTCTCCTTCTTTTCTAACTTATTTATCCCTTTCTTTCATGCTTTCTTCTCTTTCTCCTTTCCTTACCCACTGTAATTTCTTCCTTTTCCTCTTTTATATTTTCTCTCTTCGTCCTCTTCCTTCTTTCCTTTCTAGTTCTGCTTCCCCTTCTTCCATTTATTTCATCTCTTTCCCTCTCTCCTGTCCCTCTTCTTCCCTCTGTCTCTTGCTCTTTTCCCTCTCTTCTTATTATTCTCCTTCTCACTTCTTATCCTATCACTTCCCCTCTCCTATCCCTGTTCTTCTATCCCTCTCTCCCTCTCTCTTCTCTCCCTTTCCTTCTTTTTTCCTAAACCTCACTACCTTTCCTCCTCTCTCGCTCTCCCTTTCTCTTTCTCACCTTTTCCATTTTCTCTCTGTCTTCGCTTATTCTTTTTCTCCCTAATAACACATACTTTCTCCCTCCTTTTTCCCTCCTTCAGTTCTTCATCTTCATCTCCTTTTCCTTTTCAACTATCACCCATTTGTTCCCCCCCACTCCATCAGTCTCTCCCCCCTCCCTTTTCTGTTTCCTTCACCCCTATCTCCCATTCTCAACGCCTCATACACATCTACATACAAACATGAGTAGTGGTATATCTTTTGAATAATTCTTCCTTTGCTGTACGTGTACATGAGTCTGTGCACGAGTAAGTACGAAATCGTGATTTGAAAAGAAAAGGAGGAAAACGAAGAGTATTTCCTCCTCTCAATCTGGTTGCCGACGCAAGTGCAACCGAGGAATCAACCCAAGCGTCTCTTCCCTCGCAGGTTGCCGGCCCCTGCACGAGGCAGCCGGGGGAGGCCTCAGAGAGGTGGTGGAGGCGCTCATCAAGGGGGGCGCTGACCCCAACGCCAAGGATGGAGGAGGTAAGGCGGAGGGGAACCGAGGACGGTGCTCGGCGACAGGCCCGTCCTCACTGTGGCATTATATATTGTTATTTTTATTATCTTATTATTTTTGTTAATAATGCTATTGTTGTGTTTGTTGGTATTATGATTGTGATCATTATATGATTATTTAACATTTGTTTTTGCATTTGATATTACTCCTGTTATCATTACCATTATTCATCGTCATCATTATGGTGGTGATGATGAGGAAGAATGTCGTTGGTGTTACTAAAGGTTCTGTTTATAGTTTAAAATTTATAGATCTTGGTTTTGGATTCCTCTCTCTCCTTTCAGTTTAC